TTTAACTATAGATGTGCTTAATACCGTTAAATTAAAAAAAACCAAAACCTTCAGGTATTACACAGGTTGTATAGGGATTTGGGGGTAATCCTAACTTTTTTGCTTGTTCTTTAACCTGAAGGCCCAAACACACATGGAAGGGGTGGAGGTGGTGGACCGTATAACCATGTGCCTTTTAAATGCATGTGGGTTTATTGAAAAGTATTTTCAATGGATTTTAAAAGCAGTTTGGTTTTTATTTTGCAAAATGAGATGTCTTTTTAAAAATGTTTGTGGGTTTGTTTTTTAAAGCGGTAGAAATAAACTCAAAACCTGTGTTTGTTGTACAGCCTGAAATGGATTATTTTGTTTTAAAGCTGTGACTTTTCAAATAGAAAAACACCCTAAAGAGACAGCTGAAAAGAAAATGTCACCAGTATCAGTGACGGATGGATGGATGGATGAAGCCCAGTAAATATATTGTGTTTATGAATTTGGTTGTTTCATGAGGTTTTGTATTTTAAGTAAATCCATAGGTGTGGGTGAGAAAGATGGTAAAGTTCAGTTTCGTAAAATGTCTTTTCTCCCCCCTCATAGGCACGGGCAGCTTTCCTGACAATGCTGTAGTCGAAGCTACAGGGACACCTCTAACAGAACCGCCAAAGAACCAGGAATCTGCTTTGAGACCATTAACAACGCTAACACAAAACAGCACAAGCAGGAGCGCCGCCAGCTTTTCTGCCGCCCTAGGCTGCGGAAGGTCCCCCCCCCCGAAATGCCACCCCCCTACAGAGGCGGCGGAAAGTCCCGCCGCTGAAATACCGCCGCGGTTGCCGCCCTGCAAATTGTAGCGCCCTAGGCGACCACCTAGGTCGCCTAATGGGTTGCGCCGGCCCTGAGCACGAGAGTGCAGATGAAGCATCAGGGCAGTCCAAACCTCATATACGTCAAACCCAAGGACAAAACAAAAGACTCTGGTAAAGACCAACCACGCAAACACAACTCCAGTTCCTCAGTGGCCCCCACCACACCAAGCCCTGAGAAAACTGAGCAAAAACGCTCACATTCACAAAGCCGGAGTACGCGCTCTAGGGGTTGTGAACGTGAGCAAAAATACACACATTCACAAACCTGGAGCATGCGCTCTAGGGGTTGTGAATAAAAAAACAAGGACTGACAGACCATTCTCCCAACACCATAAGCTCGTCACAGCTCCCCCATATTCTAATATTTGGGAAAAGTATGATGCTTCATTCAAAAAACTGATGAAGGTTTGGGGAAAATATGAGGCTTTGTTCAGAATACTGGTGGCTGCTATATCCTCAGGGGTCTAAAAGAAAGGAGTGCTGGAAACCACGTCAAAAATGCAAAAGCTCTGGCGGGTGACTTTTTGAAAAATACTTCAATTTTTCCAAAAGGGGGCTCTGAGCAGGCGTGACTAGCCATGGAAAGGGGCCTGGGTAAAAAGGGCACCCTCAAGGGTACATATCAGCTCAGGTGTAAACAAAAGGGGGGACAGCTCTTGGTGGACAAACAAATGGCGGCCAAATTGTTCCAGGCCAGGGTCTTAGTAAAAATTTTAAAAAAGGCTAAAGAGGTAATGAGGAAAAAAAACAAAAAGAGAAGCTCCCTACTGGAAGCTCTCAAACTGGCTTGTCTGAAAATGGGGAGGTGGAACCCGACTCTCACGCAGAGTCTGGTTTAGAAAATTCCCCAGAGGGCTCTCTAGAAGGTCCCCGTCTCCTCCTGATGACCCTCATGGAGGCCCCTCGGAGTCTGACTCTCAAATAGTCTCTGATGTAGAAGATGCTGCTGATGGTCCCGTAGAGTAACCCCCAAGTAACCCTGAAAATGCAGAGGTGTATATGGAGAGAGTGAGAAGTTGGTAACGTGAATTACCTAGATTTGGGGGGTCAGTGTATTGTGAGGAATTTTGTTTTGTCAATCCTGAGTGAATAAATTCAGCTCAGCAGGTTGTTGAAGCCATACACAGGGGAATACAGTTATTTCTAGATGACGTTAATGGTGATTATGATGATTATGTTCAGTTACGTTTAGAGACCCGAAATTTAACTAACCCTTTGTTTTCAGTCAGAAGAACTAGGGATGAGCTGTCTGCTGAGGATTTCTTAACTCAGGCCTCAAAGCTGCTACAGAGCAATAGAGAGTTGCATCTCGATGGGACGTTGCGCCTCGTTGTGACAGTTGTAAAAAACAGGGGTGGGGGTGCTCGTAGAGTTTTAAATTCTATCTGCGGTAGTCAAATCCTCCATAAAAAGAGACAATGCTTAGTAGACCTGATTTACACTGGTACCAATCTGTGTTTTGTGGGTGGGCTCTTGGCCGTTATGTCCGACCATAAACCTACGGACGCGGAATTGTTAGTGGGGGCGAGAAAGTTGCAGGAGAAACTGGGTTGGTCAGATCAAAAAAAGGTTCTGCTCAGTGACGTAGCAACGTTTGAACAGCATTTAGGAGTCAATATACAGGTGGTGCTGTATGCGGCGAAATGGGGATGGGGCTTTTTTAAAACGGAGGGCCCAGTGTACCCCAAGACTTTTTTCATCCTGTTGCATGATGAGCATTACTATGGGGTTCTGGATGTGAAAAAGTTCTTCGGTGTGAAAAATTATTGTGAGTTTTGCCACATGGCGTACAGTCACGACCACTCTTGCAGGTATCGTTGCCGGCTCTGTTTGAGCGTAACGTGCTTGGACAGCATGGGCGTGCAGCTGAGGTGTCCTAGCTGTAGACAGTATTGTCGATCCAAAGAGTGTTTAGACGGACACGTCGACTGTGCATCGAAAAAACAAGTCGAATGCCTGTCTAAAACTTTGTGTGATAAGTGTCAGTCTTATGTGGACAAGCGGCACAGGTGTAAAGGGAGGCGCTGTAAGCAGTGTCAGGGTTTGATCGCTGGTGATGTAGACAGTCACCTGTGTTTTATGGACAGCCTTAGAAAGCCCGAATCATCAGAAAAGTATCTTTTTTATGATTTTGAATGCACGCAGGAGACTGGGTTGCACACGCCCAATTACATTTTTGTTATGTCCCTAAAGCCGGGAAAATCCTGGGAATTTAAGGGCGACGAGTGTCTTTCTATGTTTGTTGAGACCTTTATTGGCAAAGAGTTCTGGGACTACACGTTCCTAGCTCACAATTCCAAAGGTTACGATGCGTACTTCATCGTTAGACAGTTACTGAAGGAAAAGATGTACCTAGAACTGATCACTCAGGGTACCTCTTGGAGCCAGATTCACCAAAGGGCTTAAGTGCCTAACTGCTGCTTTAGGCACCTAACTGCCAGAATCAGGCCCCACTGGGATTCCCAACCCCCCCGCCCACCTGCTGCTCACCACTGCAGGGTCCTAAACTCATTTGAAAGTCATTTACAACAAGAGGGTCCTAGAAGAAGGGTTTAAAACCCTGCCCTACAGCTTTTAGAAATGGATACGAGGGGGAAACCACTCTTTTCTGAA